CTGACCCCAGACCCACCTGACCCCAGACACACCTGATCCCAGACCCACCTGACCCCAGACCCACCTGACCCCAGACCCACCTGATCCCAGACCCACCTGATCCTAGACACACCTGATCCCAGACCCACCTGACCCCAGACACACCTGACCTCAGACCCACCTGATCCCAGATCCACCTGATCCCAGACCCACCTGATCCTAGACACACCCGATCCCAGACCCACCTGATCCCAGACCCACCTGACCCCAGACCCACCTGATCCCAGACCCACCTGACCCCAGACCCACCTGATCCCAGACCCACCTGACCACAGCATTCTGCTGCCTCAGGGGATATAGGCAAACAGACCCCAAACTCTGCGTTTATTTCCTGCACTTGGGGATGCCCATCAGGGGCCAGAATAAGACAAAGAACAGGATCAAACCACACAGTAGCCGACAAAACACCAGGCCTCTGAAGTGCCCAAGACCAAAGAGAGAGGCTGGCCATTCCATCCCTACATCGAGAGCTTATTAAGGGACCTTACGAGGGGCATCTTGGCAAGATGAAGGAACAGCCTCCTTCCCGTGTGGCAGGCAGTAAAGAATGATCTAGAACAGAGCAGGGTGAGTAGGGGTACTGGGTGTGACCCGGCTCAGATAAGGGTAAAATGCCTTACATACTTGCCTGGGGAGGGCACTGGCCTGTCCCAGGAACCCAGGAATCAGCACACCTGGCTGGGGACAGGAGAGGGGTCGATCAGACAGTCTCTGAGGGGATTTACAGGCAGCGACCTGTTTGGGCCCTTATCTGCAGCAGTCACATCATGGGACAGACTCTCCTCCGGGGTGACCGGTCCAAGGACACGCCGTCAGCCAGTGGGTCAGGATGGATCGGGCTGGATTAGAACCTGGGAGCGGGTGCTGAGGAAGTAAGAATGGCACATGGTAACTGGGACTCACTTCTCTTCTTTATTCCCTCCCCATTTGTCTCCCACAGAAGAGCTGAGGCCATCTAGAAGATTAAAACATACAGAATGGGATTGTTGACATAAAAATTAAAAGTACAATCTGAAACCAATAGAAAAAGGAACACTTTCGCCCTGACTCGTTTGGCTCAGTGGATAGAGAGTCAACCTGCGGACTGAAGGGTCCCAGGTTCGATTCCAGTCAAGGGCATGTACCTTGGTTGCGGGCACATCCCCAGTGGGGGGTGTGTAAGAGGCAGCTGATCGATGTTTCTAACTCTCTATTCCTCTCCCTTCCTCTCTGTAAAAAATCAATAACATATATTTTTTTTTAAAAAGAAAAAGGAACATTTTGCTAGGAATCTAGACTAAGATGGTCACTTTGAGCACTAATTCAAGCTTCAATGGATTTTCTAACAGCAGCTACCATTTGTCAACGTAATAATGAAACAACTTTAAAATGCATTCCTGCCGTCTGCTGAGTTTGCAGAATTTGTGAGACCAGTTTTCTACTCAGGAGGTGCCCTCCACATGCCACACGAGGGCCTGTTCTCAGGACCACAGGCCAGACCTCGCCACACTTCCTACAACGCAGGATAAGGGGAGCACTGCCAACAAGCCAGTCTTCATTCTGACCCTATGCCATGTCAGAGTTTTCCTAAAAGCATGTCCGTCCATGACCAAGTTATTTGCAAACAGAGTAATTGACCGTACCTTCGCAACGCCTCCCATTGGCTAATCAGCACAATATGCAAATTAACAGCCAACAAAGATACGTAGACTCCAAGCGGCAGAGCAAAAACTGAAGGTGAGCCAGAGCCGAGAAGACAGAAGACGGAAGGCAGCTCCGGCCGGGACCACAAAGACGGAGGATGGAAGGCGGCTCAGGCCCGAGCGAAGGCCTGGGTCCCGGGTGCCAGAGGAAAACCAGTGCTGGCAGCCAGGAGAAGGGAAGGCCTATTGCACGAATCTCTCTGTGCAACAGGCCTCTAGTTCCTTTCTATAATGCCAAATGAGTGATTATGTAGCAAAGATAGCAAAACGTCAAAGTTTTTTATTGTTGTGGTGTCCATTCCACATTCTAGTTCTGCAGCAACATGGCTACCAATGCACAAGGTCTCGGCTTCCACATTGTCTCCCCTGGGAAGCCGGCTTTCATGGGAATCTGGATTGGGGGCTATCCAGAGATAGTAAACGAATGGGAGGCAATGCCATCTGAGGAACTGAGGGCTGGCCCTTGGGGAAGAGCCTGTATACAACCCCCAGAGCAACTTTTCTCAGCTCCCCAGTGCCACCCACATCTTTAACTGGGAATATGTTCTACTTTCCTGCTGCCTGAAAAAGCAAATCCATGCTTCTCAGCTTTGCATTCAGTGCACGCCCTTCCCTAATTCCCTCCTCCCTTCCGACGCTCACCACTCCTCCGTCCTCTCTTCAGTCACACCATCACATTGTTCTTTCCATCTTGCCCCTGCTCTTGACTCACGTTTTCTGACTCAGAATCCCAAGCTCTGCCCACCAGACCAAGCTTCCCTTGGAGAAACAAAACAAAACAAAACTTTTCTCTTTTTCAAGAACCACAGGTGAGTGTGGTCTTATTCTAGATCCACGACAACAAAGCCACACTTTTCCTAAGTTCTCTTTTTATACAAGCTCTCTTGCTAGTGCGTTGCCATATTTGCAATCCTTTAGGTGTCTCAAGCTTCCCAGTGTCCTAAGCAAAATAAAATAATAGCCATACAACTTTTTAATTGCACATAAAACACCCCTCAAAACCCCCGCCCATCTGCCCATTCGATACATGAGGACTAGGAGAGGAGGCAAACAAAATTAACCCTAATCAGCAGTCTGCTGTGGAGTAAGATCGGTAAGAATAAAGATTGCCCCAGTAGCGACAATTGAGATTACTTGCTTAAAAAAAGAATTTTTTTTTGAAAATTAAGGGGATCTCCATATTCTATCGTTTAATAACAGGAAGCACAAGCTTCTCTAAAATTTCCCATCAAAACAGAGTTTCATAGCAACAGCCACTGAAAGGTAAAGGCCTCTGTGATTTCGATTTTACTAGCTATTATGCATTCTTTGTGACTCAGTCTAGATGGGTAAGAAACGTCAAACTTGAGATTAAAAATTTTTATGATCAGTGGAAAACAGATATGAAATATATCTCAATAACTAAAAAGCAACAAATTTATTAAAAAACATTTGTGTGAGTATAAACTTAAAGTTTCTCTGCTTTGAGCCTTTGATAGTTCAGACCAAAATCCTTCAAATTTCAACTGGTAAAGAGATTAACCCAGCCCAGCCGGCATGTTTCAGTGGTCGAGCATCAACCTATGAACTAGATCATGGTGCGATTCCCGGTCAGGGCACATGCCCAGGTTGCAGGTTCGATCCCTTCATCTCTAAAATCAATTTAAAAATTTTTTAAAAAGAGATCAACCTGAAACCTTGCAGCAAGTTATAATGAGTGAGCATTTTTAATTTCAAAATCACATGGTTGCTTTAACCTAGATGTTAATAGTAGTAACAGAGCACCAGACTGCCCTGTAAGTCAAGGGTGCCTGATGGACACTGTGGTTAGGGGCCATCGCCATTAAAATCACTTCCTTTTAACAGAACTTTGTTTTCATACATACACCTCTTGTTAAAACAAGTTTTTCATACCCAAAATGTCAGCTTTTGCAATTAAGGACAATTTTTCCTTAAAATGCTAGGTTCAGAAATTTTTACTACTTTTATTTTTTCCCACTAAACCTACTGAATTCAAGTTTCAGAAATCAGTAAGTTATTTCTTCTCACGACTCCTGTCATATTCGACCATTATTTCTCCCTTGCTCATTCTTTAAGGCCACATTTTAGAGTTCTGTATGGACAATGTTTATCTTTCTCTATTCAGGGTGATAGTTTCTTTTTATATAGACTTTTATTGATTTTTAGAGAGAGAGAGAGGAATGGAGATGGATAGAGAGATAGAAACATCAATGAGAATCATCAATTGGCTGCCTCCTGCACAGCCCCCACTGGGGATGGAGCCCATAACTTGGGCATGTCCCTGATCAGGAATTGAACCCGCAACCTCTTAGTTCCTGTGTTGATGCTCAACCGCTGAGCCACACCAGCCAGGTGGGGGTGATAGTTTCTTATGTAACGTCATTACCATTTTCTCTATTGATAGCTAAGAGTTATGTAGTGGAGGTTGGGGGCTAAAAGCCTCAGGCCAACAGTGAGGAGGGATGCTGATGAAGACTAGGTTTGGGGCCTGAAAGAGGGTTGGGAAGCTGAGTCTAAAATCTTCACATAAGCCCTGGCCAGTGTGGCTCAGTTGGCTGAGCATCATCCTGTGCACCAACAGGTCGCCAGTTCATTTCCCGGTCAGGGCACATACCTACATTGCAGGTGCATTTGGGAAGCAACCAATCAGTGTTTCTCTCTCACATTGATGTTTTCTCTCTCTCTCTCCCTCTCCTTTCCTCTCTCTACAATCAAAACATATTTTTTAAAAACTTAAAAAATATAAAATCTTCACATACAGCCAGGTAATTAGAAGGGCTCACCTTCAGAGAAAGACTAGGCTAGAATAAAACATCTGCAGACATCCTCCCAGCTCTGCAATGATGGAGGTCGGGGTAGACCTTAAAAGTAGACTTGTTTTCCCTAATATTTTTACACTGTGTATGTATACATATTTTTAAATAAATTTTAAAATAATGAAGAAAAAATATTATTTACAGATATTATTTATCGCTCACATAAAACCTTACAGATTTTAAATTTAGTAAAATGGATGGATGTAAGAACAGTAATTAAAAATATAACTCACTTCAGCAGCACAAATACTAAAATTGGAATGCTATAAATATGATTAGCATGGCCCCTGCACAGGATGTTACACACATTTTTTTTAACCCTTTCAAAAATCTAAAATTATCTCAAAATAAAAAGTTAAAAATATATATGTAACTACATAGGTCAGGAAAGAGAAAATCATATTTTTAAATGATACTATTTATAATAGAACATTAGGATAAGGAAACCGGGAGTAAATTTAACAAAGAAAGTTCAAAAGCTTTATAAAGGAAATTCTAAGAATTTAAATAACTAAATGGAAGGATATGCTATCTTTATGAACAAGAAAATTCAAAATTCAAAATTATGAAGATTTACCCCCCACAAAATGATCAACCATTTAAATGCAAAGGTAATTAGTCCCAACAGAATTCTTTGGAAAACCTGAGAAGTTGGTTCCACAACTGCACAGAACAAAAGGTAAAGGCATTCCTAAAGAAACAGGTGGGGGACTTGTGTAAACACTTTCTATAAAGCTACAGAAATGTAGATGTTTGGTATTGGCAGTAGGATAAACAATAAACCAATGGAATAGCCCGTGAAACAAAACCCAAACATATATAGAAACGTATATGAGAGAAATGGAACTATAGGTCAACCAGGAATAGATAAACCATTCATTAATGGGGTGTGGACAGTTGGACATATCCATATGTTTAAAAAAAAAGGTGAATTTGGATCTTGATATCACACCATACACACACACACACACACACACACACACACACACACACAATTTAATGAGGATTAAAGATTTAAATATAAAAAACAAAGCTTTATTTATAACTTTTAGAACATAGAATATCTTTATTAAAGATTTCTTAAACAAAATAGAAAAGGCCCAAAACACACAGAGAAAAGCGAATAAATTTGACATTAAACTTAGAAATTTCTACCTAAAATACAAAACCCAATTCTAATCAGACACCTAGTCCTAACTTCCAGTTTACAGGAAATAAAGAGGTTAGAAACACCATAATGATGCCATCAATTCCAGAAGTGGAACATTTTACAAAACAACTGGCCTGAACTCTTCAAAAAGTCAACGTCAAAGGGACATCTGTAATACTTTCAACAACAAATTTAAACGTAAGTCATCATTAAAAAGAAGGGAGGTAGACATAGATGGATGGGTAGGAAACTCTTCTAGATTAACAGAATAAACTGACAAGAACAACTTGCAGTGCTTGAACTTTGATTGAGTTTAGATTTAAAAACAAACCAACACCTAAAAGTGACGTTCTTGACACAATCAGGGAGTTCATACAGGGCTTAGAATAGCTTTCATTCCCAACAGCCAGAACGGAGAAACCTCAAACCAGACCAGGCACAGGGCAGATTATACAGAAAGGTTATTACCTAAGGCTTATCTGGAATTAGCCCTAACTAAAGGCTTTTCTAGTCCTACCTCATTAAGCTTAACAGGAAGCTATGAAAGGATCAAACAGCTTCCAAGTAACTTAATTATGTCCCAGAATAAAGCTCAACATATTTAAAGGAATATAAAAAACTCCAGCACCTAACAACGTAAAATTAAAAAATCATCAGGCATGCGGAGAAGGAGATTATAATCTATTGGGGGGGGGGGGGGAGTCAACCAACAGAAACAAACCAGAAATGACACAGATGACAGAATGCACACGAACATTAAAACACCGATTACAAATATACTCCAGATGTTTCAAAGATAAAAAAAATGCACGAGCATGTTAAGGAAAGACATGGTAGATATAAACTTCTAAAAAGATTAAAAATATGTCAGCCCTAGCCGGTTTGGCTCAGTGGATAGAGCATTGGCTTGTGGACTAAAGGGTCCCGGCTTTGATTCCGGTCAAGGGCATATACCTCAGTTGCAGGCTCGATCCCTGGCCTTGGTTGAACCTGTGATATCTCTCTCGTATCAATGTTTCTCTCTCTCTGTCTCTCCCCCTCCCTTCCACACTCTCTTAAAAAAAAAATCAATGAAAAAATATCCTCAGGTGAGGATTAATAAAAAAATGTTTAAAAATATAATGTCCAAGGTCAAAAATATACTGAATGGAATTAACAAGACATTAGATACTTCAGGAGAAAAGATTAACGAATTTGAGGACATGATGGAAAATGTCCGACTTGGCATACAAAGAGAAAAGACTTTAAAAAAACCCACCAGACTGTGAAACAATTTAATGTGGCCTAACATACAACTGGAGTCCCAGAGGGAAAGCAGTGAAAGGACAGGAAAGACAATCATTATTATTATTATTATTATTATTGAAGAAATAACAGCCAAAAATGTTCCAAATTTTATGAAAACCATAAAACCACAGGAAATAGCCCCAGCAGAAGAAACATGAAAAAAATCTACTCCAAGCACATCATAATCAAACTGCTTAAAACTCAAAAAGGTCAAAGCAGGCAGAGAAAAAGGACACATTACATATAGAAGAACAAAAATAAGAATAATAGTGCTCTTGCTGGACACCACAATAAGATGCCACTTAACCTCCATGAGATTGGCAAAATGAAAAAGCCTAGAATTAAGTGTTGGAGAAAATGGTAACTCACATAGTGCTGGTAGGGTATAAACTGGTACAGCCACAGAAGAGATGCATTATCTTGTAAAATGAAGACTTCCATACCACATGGCCAAGCAGTGCCCCTCCTAGATATACAATGTTCATAGCAGCATTGTTTGCAATAGCAAAAACAAAACCAACAAACCCAAACATCCATCCACGGGAGAAGGGATAAACTGCGGTCTATTCATAGAACTATACGGCAATAAAAATGAGTGATTCCCAAAAAGTACTAAGTCAAAAAAAGCAAGTCATAGAAATGAGCATACATTATGCCATTTATATAAAATTCAAAAACATACAAAACTTAACATTTCATCTAGGGATACATATATTGTAAAACTAGAACAAGTGAGAGAATAACAAACACAAAATTCATAATAATTACTTGAGAAGGAGAGGGCACATGAGGGACTTTACCAATATTACCAAAATGCAGGTAATATTCATTTCCTAAGCTAGCTGATAGGTACAAAGATAATTATTTTTAATCCTCATATATACATGTGTGTGTTTTTTATGTATGAAATACTTCATTTTTAAAAAGTGGAAAATTAAAGACTTGAAAAATGAAGACTACTATTTATGTTTAACAATAAAATTAGTGTAAAAAAATATACAAAGAAAATGTTCAATTCTTTATTGTCTTTCTGTGCCCCACACAATCAGTATTAATCTATAAGGGGGACACTCAGAATACAGGAAAAAACCAAGTGGAGTCTTTAACTGTTTTGAGACAAAATCTGAACATCTATTACTCTAAGTTAGACAAGAGTAAGTATTTTAGCCACCCGTGTCTGATTCTTCATGTTTCATCTGTACTTAGATTTTTCTTTATCTTTGGATTTCCTGGGACTCCTGCTTCGGTCTCTCTTTTTATTCCTTTCTCTTTCATAGGGATCTGTTTGGTATTTGGATTTGTGGCTATTACTGTAGTGACCATCCCTTTCTCGAGATCGGCTACGACTTCGGTTTTGAGTTCGGTCCTTCTTTTCATTCTTTTGTTTCTCCCAACAGCTTTCTTCTTCATAGTGACCGAACCCCATTTCTCTGTAGATATCCTGTCAAAGGAATAAAGAGAATTACAAGTGAATCCATGGAATCACTGTCAGTTAATAAAACTTAGACAAGCCCACCATTAGCAAGCAGTCGTAGTGGCTCAGATTTGAACACTACCACTAATGCCAGACATTTTGTAAATTAAAAAGCAAAAATAATTCAGAAAAAGATTTGACCATTTTTCTAATCGATCTCATTGGTTTGTATCTATTCAGCCAAACTGAAGGATCAGAACTAAAAACAAAAAACTGAAATTGCTCAATTGAAATTAGAACAGGTCTTTAGAGCAAAATTGAAATACTAAAAACTCTGGTTATGTATGGTTACCTTTCCACCTCCCCCTTCTCCACTCCCCAAAATATTCTATTCTTCATATTAAGTAGCAGTGGTACTTTTCCCATATAGGAGAGGGCTAATTATAATTCTATTTCTGCTTGTATTCTGCTTGTATTCTGCCCTTAATTAAAATGAGTTCTCTCAGCAAGAGGCTGAAATCTAAAATGACCAGAAGAGATGGCTTGTAAAATTCAACTTTCTTAAAAGATTTCTCAGAGGAAAGGCAAAATCCTAAGGATTGAACTACCAAGGGTCTTGCCTCTATCACCATAGATATTATTAAAGTAGATGTAAATGTCAAGGTTCAAAATCTACAGTAATGGGTACCCCTGGTTAAAGACTGAATTTTAAACAGATGACTCATAGTTATTCCATAGCTGTCTAGAGACTGTACAATACGCCTGTCATGGAGATTGCAGTATGTGAATAGAGATCTAATGGGATCACTATAATCAGTGTTTGTGAAATACAACATTATACACAGATTCATTATTTCCCACACAATCCCTATGGCTCTTATCATGAATCGGTATTTGGTTTAACCCTTTACCAATTATTTTCTAACAAAATATTTCATCCTTAGATAAAAGAATTTTTGTGCGTCCTGTAACAGATACAAAAAGTAGCCATGTACAATTCTGTCTGTACACCTATTTTATGAATTGGTTGAGACAATAAACTTTTAACATAAAGAGACAGTTAGCTGATGTATAACTCTGTAAAATCTATAGCACATTATTACATACTAGAAGCCCAGCGCATGAAATCGCACGGCCCCGCCCTCCCATGCAGCCTGGTTGTGCTCGCGGCCCCACCCATCCGCATGCGCCTCACCAGGCTCACAGCCCCACCCACCCGCACCGGTCTTTGGTCATTATGGCCTTAGGGCCACTGGGTTTTTATAATGTAGATATTGGCACTTAAATGCTTTAAGAGTTTAAAACTAGAAAAAGAGAGGGGGGTTATGTAGCACTTAATTCTTTGAAAAAATTGAGGAACCTGAAAATCTAAAATGGACTGAAACCTTAAAATCTCTCCAACTTGGAGTAATTTCAAAGCTACACAAGCTTTGAAGTCAGGCAGCTTTAGGTTCCAATGGTCTTTGTCATTTCTTGAGATTAGGTTTACCAGAGAAGGTTTTATAGAAAAGTTAGAACTTGAGAGGAGCCTCAAAGATTGAGAGGGTTTGGGTTGGATTGGCAGTGAGCAGGCTAATGCAAGCAGTGTACATGAAAACTGAAAAGCAAGGAAGAATTAGCACTGAGAGCATGAAGGAGAAAAGTGCAGGTGTCTGGGAGAAGCCACATTAGAACAGGTCCTCGAAGTATGGGCTAGCACAGTGCTAAGTGCTTTGGAGTACAATATCATCCTCATTCCAGAAATAAGAAAACTGACACTTGAGGTCTGCACAGGTTGGAAGTAATGATTTAACTGATCAATAATTGGATATATAAAACTGGAATGGGGGTGATAAAGAATAACGAAGAAAACCCACACCTGACTGAATCGAAATAAACATTAAACTTCCAGCTTTCCCACTAGCTATAAGGTCCACAGCCTGTGGGGCCAGGCTCTCATAACTAAAGTGAAGGAAATGAATCAGATGAGCTCTAAGTCCTATCCAGCACAGACTTTAAACAATTCTATCATTTTATATGTTTAAGACATAAGACAAGATGATTAAACTAGCATGTGGCTAAAAAGAAAAGAAAACATAAAGTGGCCAATTTAAAGTAACCAACCTAATCTATATGATTTCAAAGTAAAAAAAAAAAAAAGTCTAATCTAACTAAAAATCATCCTTGCTCTGGTCACTGGAATTAAATAAAAGATTTAGCTAAATCTAAATCACTAAAATAACATTAAAGGATTAAAATGACAGCAAAAATAGAGTCCCAAATTATAAGACTACTAAACACCTATGAAAACCACAGAGGACTGACTACCAGTATGAATACATCTGAGCCAGGCAACCCACAGCTGAGGACTCATTTCCTGTAACCCTAGGAAAACCCAAACCTCAACAACACAGAAACCATCTTTGGAATTAAGACACAGGTGGAAAATTTAAATAGAGAAGTTTTCAAATTGAATAATAAGGTTGTCACTAAATAAAAAACAAAGAACTTGAAGAAATAAGTTAAAACATTCTTAGGAAATGAGGCTCACCAAGCAAAATGGCAACAAATAGAAGAAGTTGAGCTATACACAGAAATTACCTAGTATTGAAAATTCCCTTTAATGATTATGTTTTTGAGACTGAAATCAAAAGGATGAGAATCAGAGTAATAGAAAAAATTGGGGCCTATTTAAATCTTAAATATAGATGTTGTTCTATTATAAAAAATAGTAACAGAAAATTAGTATAGCTATATTATTAAATGAAAATATAAAATAAAAAACATTTACTGTAACTCAAAGATATAGACAACAGATTGGTGGTTACCAGAAGGGCAGGGGGTTTTGGGGGGCAAAATTGGTACAGTGATGACTAGAAACTATACTGTTGAGCCCACTATAGTGTACACAGATAGCAAATTACAATGTTGTACACCTGAAATTTAAATAAGGTTATTAACCAATGTTACCTCAATTAAAAAAACATCCATCTGCTTTAATACACTTTAAAGGGAGAAATAAAGTTAGGAGATTACTATTTGGAATTTAATAATTTCATAGTTGCCAACTACCTTAATATTCTCTAAAAAACAACAACAGTATTCCCCCAAAATATCACTTGATGCTTTTCGCTCTGTGCCAAATGAGGATATTTGCTAATGTAAAGTTTTAAGTAAGCAAACAGCAGGATAGAAAAGATTCATAAGCCCTGGCCAGGTGGCTCAGTTGGGTGAAGCGTTGTCTCATACACCAAAAAGGTTTCAGGCTCAATTACTGCTCAGGGCATATGTCTAGGTTGTAGGTTCAATCCCCAGGTGGGGCACCTACAGGAGGCAACTGATCCATGTTTCTTTCTTTCTCTTTCTCTTTCTCTTTCTCTCTCTCTCTCTCTCTCTCTCTCTCTCTCTCTCTCTCCATGTTTCTTTCTTTCTCTTTCTCTTTCTCTCTCTCTCTCCCCCCCCCCCCAACCGCCCCCACTTTCCTCTCTCTCTAAAATCAATAAGCATATCGTTGGGTGAGAATTTAAAAAAAAAATTCATAATAAGGGGAAGAAATAACAGACATAAAATGCAGCCAGTCTTTGGATTTTCTTTAAACCTTATCTCAGACACACCAGTGTGTATCTCAGGCCTAGATTCATTGATGATTCCATGTACAAGTGCAGGATGGTGATCTGTAGCTGAAGGCGATACATGGGGTGGGGGCGATAATTAAGGGGTTTTAGTGAAAAACATTAAATATTCGTAGAAATGTGATATAGCCATCATTTAAAAAGCTAAGTAGCCTGGCCAGTGTGGCTCAATGGTTGAGCCGTGACCTATAAACCAGGAGGTCACAGTTCAATTCCCAGTTTTGGACTTGATCCCGAGTTGGGGTGTGCAGGAGGCAGCCTATCAATGATTCTCCCTCATCATTGATGTTTCTCTCTTCCGCTCTGAAATCAATAAAAATAGATTAACAAAAAAAGCTAAATTTATAATAGAGTACAAACATTAGGAGGGAGGTGTTCCTATTAGATCACACTAAAATATTACACTGTGGGACAAATTGTATTAGACTAACAGTAAGATTTAGAAAAGAAAACATATATATCAGCTAAGAAGAGCAGCAGTACATTTGTTAGGAGTACAAGTCTGAATTTAAATTGTGCCTCCACTATTTATTAGCTGTAAAACTATGGGCAAGCTGCTTGACCTCTTCCGTTTTCACTGTCTTTGTTGTGAAATGGGGCCAACAGTACCCACCTCACTGTAAAGACTCTGAAGATGTAGCGATTACTGATTCATGTGCGGACCATTTAAAGGACTGACAAAGGTGTCACTTAAAAACAGAAGCCAGGGCATGAAGGAGGGCAAGCTTTAAATAGCTAAAGGGCTGTGGAAAGGAGAAGGTATACGTCTGGTTAGACAACAGCGAAGAATAAGAATATTTGCTATCCAGAAAATAGGGGGCTAAGAATATATATAAAATATATGCTTGCTGAAATCTTTTAAATGAAGAATAAATCATAAAACACATTAAAATGGTTAACTACGGGGGGGGGGGGGTGGCATTACCACAGAGAAAGTACTTCAACTGATTTAAAACACCGTAATTTGACTATATAAATAAAAGTAGTAACAAAAGCCAACCATACTGCATCTCTCCATGGTGTCTCTGCCTGACATCCTCCCCGTCTTGAGTTCCTTCTCACCTGGGCCCATGACACCTCCTCCTCCACCAGGGCCCAGATGCCTTCACTTGGTAAAACAAAAGCAGGAGCTGTAGTGTAACTTGTTTTCATTTAACTAAGAGCCAAAATGCAGGCTGGAAATGCTTTCTTCTCTTTATAATCAATTTTTCTTTGGGGAATTTTTACTATTATTGTCTTAGAAAATGCATTGTCAAAGAAAGCTTTGGGATGATCAATTATGAGCACTGTTTTCATTCATATATACAATACAGAAGGGAATAAATGTTTCACAGGTCCTAAACCCTCAAGAGTTTTAAGTGCAGCACACAACACTTGGTGATAAAACGCTAAGTGAGAACTGTTTGAGCACAACCATACTTGCTTTCATGGGAACAGAGGAGTGTCCACAGGTGGTATGGAAATCACTCGCTTCACAATGGGAAACTACATACTAAGTTAATTCAAACGCAATCTTTTATAATTTGTGATACATATTCTTAAAAATTAAAGTTCATTACCCAGTGAAACCATTCTACACGTTAGACTTAGAACATGCCCATCACTACAATGTAATTTATAAAGGGATAAAATATTTATTTCTCCACCACTGAGTCTGGACATGAGCAGTACCTGATTAGTATTTTTGATTGGCATGTAGTTCTCATCTTCTTTTTCTTCAGAGCAGTGACGGGTTTTCTTCTTGTGTTTTTTACTTGTGTGTGAGTGACTTGATTTTGAGTCTTCTGACTGCTCCTCTAATATAAGATCATACTTTGCACTGCAGCAGCTAGTTAAGGACAAGCGTGAGAACGAATACTGGTAATACATCAAAACCTAAGAATCTGGTGAACAAAGGAGACCAAAAAGTTAAAGGTAACTTTTTAAAATAAAAGCATCTTACAAGTATAGTTTATTTCTAAAACAAAATGGATTCTTTTTTTTTTCATTACATAGAAAAAAATGGAAAGAACTCTGATTGTATATAGGCAGTTAACAATTATAAGTGGGCAAAAAATATGGAGGGGGAAATATAATATAATATAATATAATGTCCACAAATTAAAATATAAGTATCTAAAAAATAAGGAAACATTTGTCAATAATGAGAAAACCTAAACTTAGAAAATGTTTAACTAGAAAAAATTAAGATAATACAAACTCCAAAGCCAGAAAAGCTACATAAGATAAAAGGTACATTCATGTAACGCTTCTTCTTCTGAGCAAATTAGCTCACCTGATAGGAGGAAATTTAGCAGTGCATGTCAACAGCTACTATGCTTAAATTCAATTAAGAATTTATAAAAATTCTGTGGCATTTCAGAGGGAAGGTGGAGGTGGATGGGAAGAGAGCAACCAAATAACTTGTATGCATATATGCATAACCTATGGACACAGACAATAGGGTGGTGAACGCCTGGAAGGCAGACTGGGGCAAGTAGAAGGGGTCAGATGGGGGGAAAAGGGGAATATATGTCATACTTTCAACAATAAAGATTTAATTGTAAAAAATTAAATTAAATAACAAGTTAAATGAACAAAGGAATACATAATGGGATTATTTTTAATGATAAACTAGGAACAACAAATAGCCTAGTAATAACTATAGATTCAATTATATTGTAGTACTTCAACATGATATTTTATAAAAGAAGTTATTAACAATGATAAATTAATGCTATGAAAAACCTGGGAAGGTGTTTCTGAAAAATTAAAAGTGAAAAAAGCTCAAAGCAAAAACCATATATATCATACAGTGATTATAAGTTTACATAGATCAAATCTTGAAGGAACAAGAAAAAATAAATATCATTTGTAGATGGTAGAACAATGACTGAATTTTTTAAATTCCACATAAAAATGTTATAAAAATAGTGGTAATGTTTTAATTCAGAAATAGGTATTTTCTCTAATATAAATAAAACTAACCCATGTCTTAGAATAAGAGAAAATATAAAACTACTACAACCTCTGCTGAAAATAATCTCAATTTTGAGGAAGGCTAGAAGAGTGGTTTTCAAAAGAAAGCTTATGAGGAAGCCCCGCACGCAGGGCTATTTTAGCGGCGTGGGGGCCTAGAGCAATCGCAGACCCACTTCCCTAGGGACCAGAGTGTCCCATCTGTTTCCACAATGCCACAGTCTATGCTTTCCTCAGGGGTGACTCACTTCTACCTCAGATTAACCAGGAAACCACTGCACCTTTTCACTTTCACAAGATGGCTAAAGACGCCTAGTCAGCCTGTACTGTCCTATTATTACTCTATTATCTCTGACTTCTTTTCTCCTTTATACTATGGCATATCATATCACACTGTTTCCAGGATACCTTCTGGATCTTCTCCTTTTTCAGATACAAATTCAATAGTCCTTGCCTATGATTTCATCTTAGTGTGTAGCTTTTCACATGCTTCTCCCTCTGTCCAAAAGGCTTTAGAGAGGTGTTTTTCAAAATGCTGGTCATGATCCAGCAATGGAGTGCAAAGTCCATTTAGCGGGTCACAGCCAGCATTGTTCAGTAACACAAAATAGGAAACAGAGTGCAGGGTCAGACTCATGAATTTCCTTTTTCTTGTTCAATATTCCGATGGAGGATAATTAGCAGTGGTTTACACCAGGACATGTCTGTCTTCTCCATCAACTTCAAAAGCCTAAAGCAGGCACTGTTCACTGTAATTGTTTAAATTTAAATTCATTAAACATGCGGTTAGTAGCTATACAAGGCAGTGGAGACATAATAGGTTTCCATCACTGTACAAAGTCCTATTGGACAGGACTGGGCTAGAGGTTTATCCTCAAACATGCCTCATTTCCTTTCTTCACTCTTAGTAATCTATCATCTTGAATTCAAAACACTGTAACATTACATATTCTTTCTTCTCAGCCTGAGCTAATTCTATGGGGGAAAAGACGCCTGCTTCTATTTTATACTCTACGACTGTACTTCCTTTTATTTGTCCTACACACTCCTTTTCTTCCAGCTGCAGTTACTAGTATTTAATTTTAAAGATTTGATAAATCTCAACTGTATTTCATCCATACCTTTTATGATTTTAAGATTTCAATCATATCCTCCCTGATGTTTATCTTTTCTGGCTAAATCTTAGCTCACTGTTTGGTCTGTTTGCAAGTGAAAGCCTTTCCTCATGCTGATTATGTCGGCATACATACTGCAGACTTTACCCACTCTAACCTCTAGAATGCTTTATCTATTGTAAACAACCAACACTGCTTTAAAAATCTATCCTATATAATAAAAGGGTAATATGCAAATTGACTCTAATGGCAGAACCACCAGGACCGACTGCTCGGACACGCACTGACCACCAGGAGGCAGATACTCAATGCAGGAGCTGCCCCCTGGTGGTCGGTGTGCTTCCACAGGGGGAGCACTGCTCAGCCAGAAGCTGGCTCATGGCTGGCCAGCATAGCGATGGTGGCGGGAGCCTCTCCCACTTCCACGGGAGTACTAGAGATGTCCAATTAACGGCTTAGGCCCGCTCCCCGCAGGCCTAAGCCATTAGTCGGACATCCCCCGAGGGCTCCCAGGCTGCCAGAGGGATGTGTGACTGCCAGTTTAGGCCTGATCCCCCAGGGAACAGGCCTAAGCAGCCTGTCGGAAATCCCCCAAGGGGTCCCAGACTGTGAGAGGGCGCAGATCGGGCTGAGAGACCCCCCACTCGAGTGCACGAATTTTCATGCACTAGGCCTCTAGTCTATAATAATAAAAGTGTAATATGCTAATTAGACTGGACGACCTTCTGGATGAAGCCAGGGCTGTTAGGAAAGCCCAGGTCTTGGGTGTCTGCCGGTGGCAGGAGGAAATGACCGGACAACTGGCCGGTAGCTATGAAGAGCACCAACCCAGACCTTGCTGCTGGGGCCCTGACAGCCCCGAATCTGGTTCACCTGCACCCCAGACCCAGACAGGAGAGAGGAGAGAGCCCGATTCCTCACGGAATTGGCGATTGGTTAGTTTGCTGCTGGGGCCCTGACAGCCCCGAATCTGGTTCACCGGCACCCCAGACCCAGACAGGAGGGAGGAGAGAGCCCAATTCCTCGTGGAATCGGCTGTGCCTTACCTTGCTGCTGAGGCCCTGTGAGCCCTGAATCTGGTTCACCCACACCCCGGACCCAGACAGGAGGGAGGAGGGAGCCTGATTCCTCACGGAATTGGCCATTGGTTAACTTACAGCTGGGGCCAACCTTCCGTAGTCCCTTCCCCCATCCAGCTGGCCCCCCTGATCAACCCCAATGGGGGGGGGGGGGCAGCCAGCCAACCTCCCGCAGTCCCTTCCCCAGCCAGCTAGCCCCCCAGATTGGACCCAATCGCTGGCCATGCTGAGAGATCCCGCCCATGCACAAATTCGTGCACCAGGCCTCTAGTAAGTACATAACCGTCAGCCCAATATTCATCTTTCCTTGATGACTACTTGGAAAAGAAATGTTCCATATACAGTATAGGAAAAGAGAAGCTCTAAAACACCAACAGAAACTAGAAAACAAAGAAACCATTAAAGAAAGAATCCCAAAAGAAGCTTTACAATGTGTAGAGTGATAAATTTATAATGAAAACATCAATGAAAAATTAAAATGACATAATATGAACAGTATGTTTCATTGCTCCTTACTTGTCTCAACCTAAAATTTGGAAAAACCTAAATAAAATGGTCAAGTCAAAGAATTTCTTTAATCCTATAAAAGTCACCTCTTGTACACAAGTGAAGCCCAACATGTATTTGTTGCTAGACTGACAATGTCCTAAGCAGAAAGAAGCAGCCTAATTATGTAAGGAACAACAGGATTTTGTTGTCCACATAGTCACCATCTCCAAAGTTAACTATCCAAGGAAGGTTAGCACAAAGGATTTGGTTAGCTATAATAAAGAAATTTCTGACTATGAGGAATTTAAAATATTGCAATTATGTAGAGAAAATATGAATCTTACCTGAAGATCTTCTGCGAATAAGTATTAACTTTAACCTAAGAGTAGGGAGGGAAAAGAAGGCTAAACACTTATTTCAACCCTAACTTTCTCCATATAATAGAGAATACACTGAAAAAGCAAAGTATATATAAGACAGTAAACAGAGATAAACATAATGACTCCTTCACAAACCATCTGGCTTAGGGACTTTTCTACAGCCTTTGTGACTTTTTATAACATATCGCACAGTACTCTACACAGAGTGTATGGTCAACACATATTGACTGACTGCTTCCTGTGAAGGATACTCCTGTTTGGGCTTTACTTTATCTTTCAGAACCAAATTAGATGATTTATCCTGTTCCTTTTCATACTCTTTGAAATCACTCTTGGTATATCTTCCACCTATTTATCAAAAAAAAGAAGAAAAAAATGAGTAAGAAAAATTCCCTAATTAATCAAGAACAGAAATTACTTTATAAGAGGTATAATATACAAGACCGATTTTATAAGTGGCATATATATCAGGGGCTAGAAAAAGGCTGAGAAGAGAACAAAGAATCATAATAATTCATTCTCCATTACTATTTTAACTGGTAGCCATATGCTGCCACCTAATGAAATACATGAATATTACAACACCATACTTTCAAATCCTAAACAACACAGTGCATACATACGTTCACTGGAAAATAATGCAGTGTTTAAGTAAAGCCATTATATCCATGAGAACATTAGATCCAAGGGAAGCTAAGGGTTTGGGACTTGAGTCTGAGATGCCAGAAACTTACAAGTTTGGAAGAAGTGAGGCTTTAAAGACCTATGATCTGTCAAAAGAAACATTGTCCCCAAATCTCAACAGAGCACCAAGCAGATAGGGGACAGCAGGATGTGTGTAGAAGTTTGCTGAGAGATGCGAGATGGGGGGATTGGTGTCTCTGCTTTAAAATTCTTCCTTAAGAGCACCTTTATTCCTCCCAAGAGCCAAAAATGAAATCAACTATGATCTCTTCAGAAAAACAGGACCTATTCCTAAATCCTGACTGGCCTACAGTGGCAGGGCAGGAAAGGAGAGAGCATTCCATGCAGCCTCTCTACTCTCAAGCCTAGTCTCCTGCCAGAGAAGGATTCAGCTCCTACCCATGGCCCAGACCTGCTGGCTGCCCTGCCTTTCCTGTCTCCTCCACAGAAATGAGGAAATGCTTCTAATGGGAGGGCTTCCTACAGAAGGGCCCAAGACTGAATGTACAAGTAAAGTAAACTGGAGGCACACAGGGAGGTGTTTTGATTGTATATAAAATATATACAGGGAAAGACATGAAATGAAAGGAAATTCTAAACATAAAACAAACTTTAGGCAAAACATATTAGGGGTTTTGCATCTAGAAGAACCAAACCACCACAAACATAATAATTGGAAAAATGTCATGCCTGAAGTGGGTAATTACAAGTAATTTATAATATAGTCAAAAATAGAAAATATATTAATCATCAGTTTAAAATCCATACACACACACACACACACACACACACACACACACACACCCCTCTATCTTAGATTTTAGGAAACAGCAATGTAAAACCATATAGGGCAGGAGTTTTATCAAAGAGCATTTCTCCAAATTAAGAGCACTAAATTAGGGGACACACACACACACACACCATGGAAAACAGAACAGGAAAAAAAAAAATAAACCAACATACCTTTTCCTTTCCATTTAACCTTTGCAACAGACTGGCTAAAATCCACATGTATTCTTCTGTCATCTATAAGTACATTGTCCATTTTGAAGAATGCTTTCTCACAATCTTCTTCCTATAGTTATAAAAAAATTAAGCATAAATGTTCCTGTACATTGGGATCCCGACTTTAAAAAAAAAATACTGATGCCTGAGTTCCTTTTTTCCTTCTCGATTTCAATGTAATTGGTCTGGGGTGCAAACCTGGGCATCAGGATTTTTCAAAGCCCTCCAGGTAGTTCAAATAGGCAGCAAAGCTAGAACCACTGCTTTACAGACCACACTTGGTGCTAAGCTGATCTTGTATCTTGTATGGTTGTTTATCATCATTTTCACACATGTTCCGTGTCCCCAACATGAATATATTTTATATGGCAGCTTTCTTTCCAGGGTGCTTTCCAAGCACTCAGTAAACATTTGCTGTGACTGCTGCTGTTGAAATTGATGTTTTACCAGTGGTTGGCAAACTGCGGCTCATGCGCCACATGGGACTCTCTGGCCCCTTGAGTGTGGCTCTTCCTAAGCCTAAGGAGTACCCTAATTAAGTTATTAACAATGTACCTACCTATATAGTTTAAGTTTAAAAAATTTGGCTCTCAAAAGAAATTTCAATCGTTGTACTGTTGATATTTGGCTCTGTTGACTAATGAGTTTGCCGACCACTGGTTAGCCAATCTGCGGTGGGGCTCAGGCATTGGTATTTTTGAAAAAGCGCCTCATGTGATCTTACTGTGCTATCAAGGTTGAACATCACTGGGTTGGCTCCTACAGCTCCAGCTGATGGTTGCTATGGAGAAATTGGGGAGGAGGAGTGCCAAATGTTCTGATTTTTGCAGAAGAAACTTAAAACTCAGATTTTTATAATGTGTTGTCAACAAATTTAGATTTTTGAAAAAACTGTGTGCAAACAAAATAAACCACATCTGCAGGCAAAACAACAACGACAACACAACTAAATCTTTATGAAAATTTTTCAGAATACTGAAAATACAAAATATGTTGTTACAAATGAAGATTTGAATGCTTACTACAACCAAATGCTATTAAATTATTTGCATCTATTACCTCAATTAACTCTGATGACAACTGTATGAGGTACTATCTATTATTATCTTATATGTTCTCAAAGAGAAAAGAGAAATTCACAAAGGTACCCAAGTTGCCAAAGGTCACACAGTTGGCAAGGGTGAGTCCAAGATTTGAACCGAGGCAGTCCAATTGTAGTGGACATACATATACCTACCAATTGTCTTTTTTTTTTAAACATGCTTTTTATTTCAGAGAGAGGGATAGAAACATCAATCATGACAGAGAATCATTGATCAGCTGCCTCCTGCACACTCCCTACTGGGGATCGAGCCCACAAGCCAGGCATGTGCCCTGACCGGGAATTGAACAGTGCATGACCTCCTGGTTCATGGGTTGATGCTCAACCAGAATCTCTTCTGCAGGGCACCAATTGTCTTATCTAAATCCACAAACCCTTTTAGTCAAAACCCATAAATATCCTGAAAATTGAAAGTTGTTTTTATAAATCTGGGGTTAAAATCCATTTGACAGCAAAACCTGACCTAATGGGAGGCTGTGGCCTTAAGTTATCCCATTTAGTATGACTATTCATTTGTTTCAATGAAGAACTACTTTTGTGTTTGATTATGGATGCTGACCCAGAGGAGAATTATATCATTCACAGATTGTGTCAAACACACACACACACACACACACACACACACACACACACTTATTATAATGAAACACCATGCAGAAACATATATAAATCTTACAAATATAACACTGAGCAAATAAAGCTGAATACAAAAGTACACACATGTGTTGACATACCACGTTTAAAATTAGACAAAACCAACCTATGCTGTCAGAAGTAGCAGTGATGGGGAAATTATCTGCAGGGGACACAAAGAGGGCTTCTGGGATCCCGATAATTTTTTTCCTGCTAATGTTTTATTTCTTGACCTGAGTGATGGTTCTACATGGGTATGATAACTGTGGTAATTTGTCAAGCTGTTTACTCATGAGCTGTACATTTTCTGTATGTTTTACTCTTCAGTTTAAAAAATTGGGGGATCAGATTATCCAAAACATATAGAACTTGCCATACATGCAAAAATACAAACTAAATGATGAACACTTACAAAGAGGCTATGGGCCATGAGAAATTATGAAGCAAAATGATGTAGCTTAATCTGATTTTCAAGAAATGATAAAGGTCACAAAAGATCCACCTCAAAAACAGAAATAGCCGAACCGGTTTGGCTCAGTGGATAGAGCGTCGGCCTGCGGACTCAAGGGTCCCGGGTTCGATTCCGGTCAGGGGCATGTGCCTTGGTTGCGGGCACATCCCCAGTGGGGAGTGTGCAGGAGGCAGCTGATCGATGTTTCTCTCTCATCGATGTTTCTGACTCTCTTATCCCTTTCCCTTCCTCTCTGTAAAAAATCAATAGATCCACCTCAAAAACAGAAATGCTGAATCATGATAAAGAACTCATAGATTCTATAAAGTTGAACTGTACTACATATTCATGGAAAATGGTATATCTGCAGAAGACTGAAAAAACATAGGCAGTCAATAGTCTATGTGCTATAAATGAAATGAAATTATATTTGTGAGTAAATAAATAATATATCCTATAGTGTCAATGATGGAATGACACTGTCAGGTCTATAAGAAGTATCCATAGTAAACCAAAGCACCAATGTACCTTGTAGATACCATTTCTGGTACACCCAACAATATCTAGGTAAAATTTGTTAGGTGTCTGTCTCCCCAACCCTCCATTATTCATCTTGTAGTCCTAGGACTTATCACACTGATATATAAAAGGGGTTCAATAAATACTTTGGGATAACTATAATTTAGAATGAACTACTATTGGACACATATCAGTCCAAAGCTGCATTAAAAAATTGCCTTACCTAGCATAGTGGCAAAAAGCAATGTGAACTTATTTAAGTTCACACATATGAAAGTTCAAATCCCAGGTATGACATGATCTTAAATAAGACACGTTATCACTATGTGTTTCAATTTCTTATTTGGAAAAGGAGGGCAGTACCTATCTCACAGAGTTGTAAAGATTAAATGCATAGCAAGTAGCATAATGCCTGGCTTAAAGAAAGTTATTTAAGTAACATAAGTTATCATTATTATTTTAGACCTAGAAGGTACCATCTAATCCAATACACAAGCTTTATTTATAAGGACGTTAACACCTGGAAATAAGAGTTCTAAACTGCCAAATGTCATAGAATAGCTGATCAGTGACAAAGCTCAGATTAATATCTAGAACTTAACACCCAGTCCAGTTCTTTTTCGTTACTCGATTATATCTATCTAAATAACACTGAAAAATCATTTATAGAGTGTGAAGGACTTTACCTAAAACTTTAAAGTTTTCAAGATTCATGAGCACAGACTGCATCTGAATCTAATGTAAAGGTACATACATTAACATCAACAGATGTTGAATTTATCCCCTATTTGACTATAATACAGTTAGTTTTCTTTGGTGCCTAAAGAAAGGGCACAATAATTTCCTAATCTTAGGGACTAGAACAAGTTCTTGCAATTTTCACATTTTAAAACCATAAAAGAACAAAAAAATACCAAACTTAATAGATCTATATTATGACCAACCTTTTCAAATTCAATAAAAGCATAACAGAGGGATTCTCCCGTCTTCCAATCTCGAATAACTTCACAACTGAAAGAAAGTTTGGGAGAAGTGACTTTTTAAAAAAGCATTCACTCTCACTCTTCATAAGTGAAGAACAAAATAAGACAGTTATTAAAAGACAAAGTTAAATTTTTCCAATAACAATTTTTTAAATAGTTCACCAGCCTAGTAATCACATTATCTAATTCTACTCTAAATGCCCTATATAGGCCTGCAGCCCTAAATTCCCGAAGAACTGAAGGAAGAATAAGATAAAAATATTTAATTTACCTATAACAAAAGTAAACTACTGCTAAAAAGTTTTTTAAATCATAATTCATTTCTAGTCCCCAAATGTAGATAAATTATAGAATATCTAATGTTACTATTAGGATAATGTATGCACATTCATACATATACAGCACATGTTTAGTAAGTTTATGCTTTGGAGTTTTTGAATTTTAATATAAACCAAGCTCAAATTTAACCCCACAGTATAGCTAGTCTACAGAACTAATCCACCTTAACAACCAAGAGAAAGGGCCAATAAAGTTGAACTGAAAGGATCGGCGTGTCCCTTTCTTGACATATCCTAAGTCTCATTTTACATTAAATGGAACAAAAAAATAAACCATTATGAGAAAAAGGAAAAATAATCACATTAAAGAAAATGGTTCAGCTGTTACAGTAGTTACATACACATTAAAATGTAAATATTGAACAATGACCTAACCATAATTATGACATAACCAAAGTAGTTGGAAGAAAGAATGAACATGGGAAGTTACTAATAGAGGTAAAATCCTCATCTTGTTTAGCAGGAAGTCAGCATATGTCTAAAACTGAAAAATAAAAAGCAGCAGTATAGGAATATTTTTTATAAATATGATATATTGTAAGTAGGTGAAGGAATAAAGTTGGGTAATCATTTACAGAAAGATTTTTATTTCAACAGGAAGAGTTAAGAATGGCTTCATGGGAGAAAAACATGAAATGAAATTCTAAACATAAAATAAAAATTTTTTAAAATTGATTTGAAAGAGAGAGAAAGTGAGAGAGAGAAACATCGCTGTGAGAGAAAAACATCAATCAGTTGCTTCCTGTACGCATCTAACTGGGATCTAACCCGCAACCTTTTGGTATATGGGATGATGCTCCAACCAACTGAGCCACCCTGCCAGGGCCATAAATTAATACTTTTTAATTAATTATAAAATATTTCCCTTTCTCACAGGAATACTAACTTAGTAGACTTTTGCATTAACAATGCAGAGGAAATTAGCCAAAAGAAATATTTGGGAAAATTTAGATTCAAATTAATTTTGATACAGCTTGCTGGTAATTCTAAGGAGAATATAAATGAGATAAATGTTTTTAGTACTAGATTTAAACTGTTCCATCCACCTCCTGTGAAAATGTGTTGGAAATCATTCAATTATATATATACTGTATATGTATATGTATATATTCTTATATATACTTATACACATATACATACATTATTTTTCTTCCCTCTGTCCCAAGGATTCAACTGTAAAATTCACCTGTACAAAATTCACCTAGAATTCATAGCTTCATCGAAAATATGTCATTAGAAAGCCACAAATTAATACCTAGTTTTCCTAAAATCTTTCACTAATTCTAGAGATTACCTTCTTATTGGCCCAAATCTTGAGAATATTATCTCCAAATCCTCATCTGTGGTCACTGGATTCAATTTACACACAAACAGAACATTTTCTGGAGGTTTAATATCTGCATCAGGTAGATCTCCCACCTAAATTGTAAACAAACAAAAATATAAATCAATTCCTTTATTTATTTTCCATTCTAAATACTCTATCCACATCAAAATGCCAATTTTCCTAAAACATCTAAATTTACATTATAAACTGCAGGATCAGAAGAAAAAGAAATCTAAATAACACCTCAAAATTCATTACGGACAATTCTTAAAATAATGCTTAAAATAATAATCCATTTTGTGAAAGTGGAATTCAAAAAGGTTAAATAACTAACTTGCCCAAAGCCACACAGTGATATGCAGCTGAGTTGCGATTTGACTCCAAGTTTATCTGGGTTTTATCTTCACTTTTTCTTTTTCCTATTTGATATATTAAAACGGAATTTATGTAAAGTATATCTAAGTTATGAAGCATAAACATAAAAAACAGCCATGATGACAACTAGCTTAAGAACTAAAATGTCTCCTGAACCCATTATCCCTCTGCCTCTCTTACCAGATATAATGAATATCCTGCTTCTTGGTTTTCCTTTTTGACCATCCCCTTGCATATCTTTAGAATTCAGCGGTTCTCAACCTGTGGGTTGCGACCCCTTTGGGGGTCGAACTACCCTTTCACAGGGGTCGCCTAAGACCATCGGAAAAATATATAATTACATATTGTTCTTGTGATTAATCACTATGCTTTAATTATGTTCAATTTGTAACAATGAAATTGGGGGTCACCACAACATGAGGAACTGTATTAAAGGGTCGCGGCATTAGGAAGGTTGAGAACCACTGCTTTAGAGTTTTACCAGATAGGTATGTATTCAAAGCAATATATTATTTAGTTTTGCTTGATTTTAAACTTTTGCAAAATCTTATCTTATTGAATCTAGCCTTATGTGATTAGTAATACCAGTTCTTTCCACATTATTGCTCAATATGGAACAGCAATAATTCCTGGATAGTGTTTCTAGCTTTTTACTCTCACCCTCACTATCATCTCCTTCAGTCACATTGAAGTCAACTGCACAGTCAACCACTGCTCTGAGCAGAGCATTCCACTTCTCACTGAGGCAGCAGTGAGGGCAACAGTGAGAGAAAACCATGGTGGTATTGGTTTCATTGTGGGAAAGTTATTATTTCCCATGGCCTTTAGATGGAGAAAACAATATTCCTTCATTCAAAAACTCTGAGATTATTTCTCATAAGATTATCACATAAAGCATTTCCTCTTTCAATAAACATGCTAAAACAAAAGGAAATCATGAAAATCAGAAACAGCAAGAAGAAACACCACCAGTAAGATCTGCTCAGTGTCTTCAAAGCCTATAAAAGACAAGCACCTCTTATGTCCAGTAAGAAGTATCATAGCACATATGGGGAAGAGCAAATCAGTAAAATCGCCAGAAGCACCTACAGTGCAGAAATATCACATCTCAAAGAAGCACAAATAAACAACTTTAATGTTAGGAAAATACTTACTATACTACTTGTCAAAGATAACAAGGAAATTTAAAATACTTTTAACCGTTATGAAGTTCAAAACACTCGTTGATAATGCAAAACACCAGTTAAATTATCATTATATTAATTACACACAAATAAGTAAGAGAAACTGATGTGCTTAGAAAATAGAAGATAATTGTGAGGACCAAAAAGGACAGGCTCATGTATTAGAATGGTTCAAGTCCAAAACACTGACAACACCACATGCTGGAAACGAGACAGAGCAACAGGAACTCTCATTTATTGCTAGTCTGGCAGTTTCTCACAAGGCTAAACCATACAACCCAGCAATTGCACTCCTAGGTATTTATCGAAATGAGTTAAAAAAAGGTCCACACAAAAATGTACACACAAATGTTTACAACAGCTTTATTCATACTTGCTAGAACTTAGAAGCAACTGGTATTTTAATAGGTGAATGGATAAACAAACTGTGGTACATTAACAATCGAAAGACATGGAATAACCTTAAATACATAATGCTAAATGAAAGAAGCCAGTCTGAAAGGCTACATACTGTATGATTCCAATTATATGACATTCTGAAAAGAGACAAAAATGATGCAGACAGTCAAAAAAGATTGGTAGTTATCAAAGGTTGTGGGAGATAGAGATGAAGAAGTGGAACGAAGAAGATTTAGGGGAGTAATGAAACTATTCTGTGTGATACTATAATGGTGGATACATGGCATCTGTCAAAATCCACAGAATGTACAACACAAGGAGTTCATTCTAATGTAAATTATAGACTTTAGTTAATAATAATGGGTTTTATACTAATATATAAGTTCCACAAAGGCAAATCTTTTTTTCACTGATGTATCCTATTAAACACAAAGATATGCATCACCCTTCTGGGCCTGACAGGTTTTGAAAGCTGGATTCTACACTGGGGTGGGATAGGGAGGGGCAGAGCTATAAAGAATATTTCTGAAATAACTTACAAAATTATAGCATGAACTGCAATTTCTATTGATATTTAATTTCCTGATTTCAATAACTGTACGGTGAATATGTAGAATAATAATGTTGATCTTAGGAAATACATAGTGATGTAGGAGGTACAGGGGATGTTTGCAATTTAATTTCAAATGGTCCAGAAAAAATAATAAGTGCATGTACATATATCATCAAAAACATAAAGAGGGGGAGAACAGAGAGAAAGAGAGAGGAGGGAGAGGAGAGAGAATGAATGATCAGGCAGATGTGGCAAAGTTAAAAATTGGTAAGTCTGGGTTGCTGGGGTCCAATCCCAGCGGGTCCAGGGGTCCCCAAAGGTGTGGACGGAGTCGGCGAAGAAGGAATGACACGAAGACAGCCTTCAGTTGATCAGCAGCCTAGTCAGGACCTCTAGCCAGGATCTCCAGCCAAAGTTCTGGTCGGAGTTCTGGTTAGGAACTGATGAGGATCTGATGATGATCTGATGTTTATTGTCTTGTTACATCCGTATTTATACCAGCCGATTTTAATCCTGTCAATTTCTATTACAAAGGTTAGGGCGTTTCTTATATCCATTCCAGGGAGTAAAGATTATGTAGCTTAACTACCTGCCTGGCACTTAATTAAGGGGTTGTATCCCCTCCCTAACCTCAGGGAAAAATCCCCACCAGGGGAAACAACCTTTCTCGGAGAGGTGACCTTGGTTAAAACACATGGCGCTAAAGGGAGCAAACATATTAAGAACAGTATGCTATATATGCCAGGTCCCTTGAAACATATGCTGTGCAGATGTTTCTTTCCTGCAGCGACTGTGTCAAGCAGCAAGGATGGACCGGCTTCCGGCACTGGGTAAAAAGTATATAGAAGTCCTCTACACTATTTTTTTGAAAATGTTCCATAAATTTAAAATTATCTGCAAATAAAAATTTTAAAAAACACATTAGCCCATTTTCTTCAGGCATGAACTTCTTATACTTTTGCTGCTGAAAATTCTGATGATAATCTAATGTTCTTTTCCTTATATGTCACTTATTCTTGTTGCCCAGTTGTTGCTCAAAGAATTTTTCTTATAATTTGACTTGGTGTTGACTGTTCTGGGTCAATGTTCTCTGATACTGTGTGCTCATTAAAATGTATTAATTTCAATTTTTTAAATTCAATAATGTTATTCCTGAATTATAGTCTTTAATACTTATTCCTTCAGACTGATGATGCTAATATGAATTTTAAAACAGACTATGAGCCCTGGGCGGGTGGCTCAGTTGGTTGGAGCATCGTCCCATGCACCAAAAGGTTTCAGATAGGATTCCTGGGCAGGGCACAAATCTAGGTTTCTGGTTTGATCCTGGTCAGGGATGAGGCAAGCAATGTTTCTCTCATATCGATGTTTCTCTCTCTCAGTTCTACCAAGGTTTATTTTATCCTGTAACTACTATTCTAATATTTAATCTCAATACTTGAGCTGTACAAAGAATTATTTGTTAATATATATATAAAATTGAATCCAAGAAATGCTCTTTTAAAATGATGAGTATAACTATTAAAATCCATTAAATATCTGTAAGTTGGATATCCATCCATTCCCCATTTTTTAAAAAGGCACTTGACACTTTATTAATAGTGGAATCAAATTTGTTTACTTTCATGTATTATTATTTTACACAAAATCTAATCCAGAAAAAAACTCTTAGCTAAATGTTTATATTTTAAGACTATCAAAATGCCAGAAATAGATAAACCAACAGTAAGTATGTATTAAATATATTACTGAACAACTATTTGAACAAATAAAATTACTTACCATTTCTAATAAAATAGCTTGAGTTTTGGCCTCTTTTTCTGCCTTTATTTCTTCTACTTCTTCAGCTGATCTCCCTTTGAAATCATCAATTTCTTCATCTGCTCCTATTCGACCACTCTGTAAGACAAAAGTTTCTCATATATATGTATATATATAATTTTAAAAAAAAAAACAACAGAAAAATCTGGGACATTATGCTTTATTCTTAGTTCCATCAAATGCATTAGAATAGAATTACTTCATTTGTTTCACGTATGTGAAACTTACCTCTGAAAATTAATGTAAATTAATTCAATATTATTAGCCAGACTAATCTTCTAATTTATTGTTACCTCAAAATAAACATTTATATAGAAACTATCTGTATCCAACTAACTGTTGAATGCAGAAGACAAATGATGTTAGAAATTAAACATCAGCCGAAACCGGTTTGGCTCAGTGGATAGAGCGTCGGCCTGCGGACTGAAAGGTCCCAGGTTCGATTCCGGTCAAGGGCATGTACCTGGGTTGCGGGCACATCCCCGGTAGGAGATGTGCAGGAGGCAGCTGATCGATGTCTCTCTCATCGATGTTTCTAATTCTCTATCTCTCTCCCTTCCTCTCTGTAAAAAAAAAATCAATAAAAAAAAAAAAAAAGAAATTAAACATCAAATCCAATTATAAAGACAAATTTAGCTTTAAGGGATGTCTCATAAGCAGAAATTTATACTTTAAAATATCTGAGGAAAAACTGTGCATTATTCCACAGAAATTTCTGGGTTCTAGCCTGGCTTCAGAGTATGTCCCAGCTGAAAAATTATTTTAAAGGTTGATAGTTTAATTTAGCTTAAAATTCTTGAAATTTTAGTTAGGATATTAAAAAAAAAAAACAAAAAAAAAACAACCACATTTTCCCAAAGTAATCATATAAGCTTCCAGAGCTAAGGCTCTTCTGGTGGAACAGAAACTGAAGAAAGGATATTATGATAAAAGCATAGCTAGAAAAATGAATTGCCTCCATAGAAAAGAAAAAGAACTCTACACTTATCCTAGAATAATTGATCAAGCAAGATAGGCATTCTGAAGAAATGTTTTAATAGGCTAAAAAGCAAAAGCTATGCAAAGCATTAATATGCATGGACATTCAATCACAAGAGGACTCAACTTACATCTAGTTGTTCCCTAGTAGGTTCTGGTGAGCGATCAGGAATTAATAAATCCGGAGGGTCATCAAATGGATCATCTAAAATCACTGTATGATTAATCCTTACAAAATAAATCCATGTCAAAGGTTACGGTTACATTGCTTCAGAATCTGTTTTACTTTTTGCAAATATTTTAACAAATGTCTATGTATCCTTAAAGCCAAAAAACCATAACCTCCTAAATTTTATTGCACCAGGAGGGTACTAGAGTACACTGTCACAATTAATGTTACTGTTTTTGATTGTTTGATATTATATTTATTACTCTGCATTACTCTAAAATAATATGTCTAATTCTTAGTACTTTTGCTGTATTTCTCAATAACCTGCATTTTTAAATATAAATTAAAGGCTTAATAATTCCTCCCAGAATATGCAATTATAAATAATTAGTACAAGTGTAAAAACATAAAAATGTAAAAACATAAAGATTCGTATAGTCTTTATTCAAGAAACAGTCTTACACATACCATCACCACTACCATGTCAAACATCACAGTATTAAAACATTCTAGTACATTCAGATAGTAAATTGTAACCATACCTGATATCTTGATATGGTACAAAATCCTTGTCAACAAAGGTCTCATTAATTTTTTTAATTATGTCCATGCCTTCTGTCACCTCACCAAACACTGTATGAACACCATCAAGGTAATCTAGATTATCTCCTGTAGTAATAAGAAACTATAAAGAAAAACACAGAACACAAAAGCATGTGTTTGTATGCATATATATGTATATATATATATATATATATATATATATATATATATATATATAT